ATGCAAACAGGAGACACACAGACAGGGACGGACCTCACGGTTCAGGCTGCACGACCTGAACCGTTGTTCTAATCAAACATTCTGACATTGTTCAACACTGCTACTGTATACAGGCAATGCATCATGGCTGTATACACGTGTACTACATGTCTGACACAAACCAAACCAAGAGAGCTGCTTTAAGATAATAAGTCCTGTATTATGAATGATAAGTCAACAAATCCTTTTTAAAAGACAAAAACCAACAAGTCTTTCATCCTACTAACAAGTATGGATCCTCTAGCCAAAACCTTTAACTCATTTTGTGCTGTAGAGCTCCACTGTTGTCTAAAACGACTTAAACACACTAATTAACCACACTGTTGCACTGAGTGAATGATCATTTATTACAATAAACATGGACGCTGTAGTTTATTACAGCTTTTTCCCCACATATACGTTCCTGTGGCTCTAAATTCTCAGTAGAGCAATAACTGCTTATTACTCTGCCTATGATAATAAAACATTCTATTTACTCCAGTTTAAGTAACATTTAAGCTGTTTTAAGAAACTACTAAGGCTCTTTTTCCAGAGGTGGGTGGAGTATCGACAACTGTGCTCAAGAAAAAACACAAACGTAATTAGAAGCCATGAAAAGTATTGCAATACCAAGACAGTATCCACTGAAAAGATATGATTTAAAAAAAAGGATATGATTAAAAATTGAGCATATATTTGTATCTATGGTCAATTTGTGATCATAATTTTTTTATCATTTGTTGAATGCTAACAGATCAAAAGTCCTCATCTTTTAGGTGTGACCATAAAACTCCCATTGGGTTACATTCATTTTTTACACAAGTACATGCCAAACCCTCCTTGTGTAACTGGAAGTGTTTGCAGCTGCGTAGCTTGTGTAGAGACTGAAAGAGCTCTAAGATCAGGGTTGGGTCAAAGGTTAGGGTTAGTCTTCATGAAGGGTTAGAGATGGTATAGTCCTGCTAAGTAGCAAAATCAAGGATGTGTGTGTGTGGTGTGTGGGGATATACCTTCATTCAGCAACATGTTTTCATATCAGCCGTGATTGTCACATGATCTGCCATTATTCAATAACACCATTGAGCCCACCTCCCTCCCCTTTATTGACTCAATATGAAAAAACAATTACTGCACCAACAAAATGGGGGTCAAAGGTGCAGCCACATAATGTTTTCCAATGAGCCAAACACTGTTAGTGACAGCACTGTTTATAGTCTCAGTGGGAACAACACATTTTGATTTAAGTTTTGTGTTTTTCCAAGCTGTGTCAGGGTTTGTGTTAAACCATTTATTAATGCAGTAAAGTATCGAGGAACCCATCACATACGACATGTATGCAATTGCACACCAGTGACTGTGGACTAATGTAGCTAAGATTTCCTCACTGTGGACTGACTGTGGTAGATGTGGATTGACTTTTGATCAAAAGACATGAACATTCATTATTGTGTTGCCTCATCAACACAGAAATGTCTCTGCATGGAGCTTGAGTTCTATAGAGAGAATCATTATACTTTGGTGTCTATTTAATCAGCCTCTGTTATGATAATTTGTAAGGTATTATCTGTAACCCAAGGATGTGTTATGATAATTTGTAAGGTATTATCTCTAACCCTAACCCAAGGATTACACCTCATCATGTGCCTGTTTTATGTTCTGCAAAAGAGACATTTGTACATGTGAGGTCAGCCCATTTACAAATGCAGGTGTTGCTATGTGCTGGGTTTGGAGTCAAAACAGAATTTGACTCCCTTTTTGTGATTTTTTGTGCTGTTATACAGATATTTTTAGTTTAATAAATCTCCCCCAGCTGACCACAATTCAAGAGTAAAAATAGCTGCCCTTACCTCACTGCCAGTGAGTCACAGTTAATGCATTGAGGGGTTAAATTTGAGCATGATATCCATAAGCACAGCTAAGGATGTGAAGCTGGGTTGTGCAGGAAACAGGGAGAACAATTTCCTGTTATGTAGAAAAGAGCCTGTTGTACATGAATAAGGCAGTCAGATGAGTGTGTAGGCAAACAGATTTGGTATCATGAACAGTAATACAGAGAAATATGGTTTAGATAGATAGATAGATAGATAGATAGATAGATAGATAGATAGATAGATAGATAGATAAACAGACACTTTTCACAACCTGGCAACTCTAAACTCTAACAGCTTATAATTGATCTATAAATCATCTATTTTATAATCTTTCTTTTGTCATTTGACTAGAATTTAGAAACCCTTTAGAAACCCGTGCCTTATTAGAAATCGGTAGCATTACTTTCGTTATTTTCTGTTTGCAAAAGTTGTTAATGACAAGAAATGGACAGGATGTATTTAATCACAGATCGTTCACATCCTTTGCTGCTTTAGTTACAGCAACGTTAACTGTCGATATTAACATTGGTCTCCATTAACATTTTCAGCTCTTGACACACTGGACCTGCTGCTTCGTTACTGCCCTTGTATGAGGGATCCTCTGGTGTAATGCGGAGCGGTGTGAGCCTCTCCATTTGGTTTCCAGTCGCGTCCTGCGCGCTGTAGGACGCACAAACGACCAGCTGAGCAGCGATAGACAGGGCTGTGTTCGGCCAGAGTCACTCTGTGTTTGCACAGTTCAACAGAGTTTAGTGCGGGTTCCGTTTTTAATAAAATAAACGTGTATCGAAGCTGCTTCTGCAGACGAGATGTTGGAGGCAATCGCTTCGCCAAAATGAACGCTGGTGAGATGATTTATTTTTAAGGACCAGGGTGGTTTTAAAGACCTATGTTGTGTGTTCAATATTTAATATACAGTATTTTGAGAAAGTGCGCCGGGCTTGGCAGAGAAAGTCAGAAAGGGAAACAGAGTTTTAGTTGTTGTAATTTTCTTTTTTTCATCTCGTACATTAGTTTTAGTAAACGGTGAATCCAGCGGTAGCAGACGGATGTGAAGCAAATATTAACGCAGTGTTGCTTGGTGTCAGAGGGAGGTGTAGTGGAGATACATTATTAACTTTACATGCTATTGTTATAATATAGAAAGTTTAGCGGTATGTACTGTTGCCCAAACTGAACTCCTTTTGGCATAACACATTATACCAAAAAACTTGAAGGCACTGCATTGGTGAGGTTAATTTGCATGTCACGCTTGATTCCTTCATTTCATGTCCTTCTCAGAAAGTGATCATATGTTTTGTATAACTGAAATGTGTTAATATACACAAATTGCATTTGTTATTCTTTGGCCATTGTCCTTTACTGCATTTACAGCATTACCCTAAAAGTAGTGAAGGCAGCCTGAGAGGGGATTCTCTCACTTGAATTACAGGAAGTGAGTCAGAGAAATCCCTTAGATTTTTTTGTATTATGTTCTCAAAGGGTGTAAAAGCATTCTGTATAAATTAAGTTTGGCTGGATTAGTTCTTTAACAAATATGTGACACAATTTGTGAAGAAAATAGTCAAAGTGAGACCATGACCCTGATCAGTTGATCAAAATGTGACAATGACAACTTTATTGTCTCAAGTTAGCATTTTTGAGCAGCTGTAGGTCACACAGACACAATAGAAATGACAAAGCTATTTTAAAGCACATAATCTTACAGTTTCCTTTTCCTGTTGTTGTTTCAGACTGCACCAAGCCTTCTGTTGCTCCAAAGCCAAGATTTGTTTGTCACACCAGCCTGAGCCCGCCATCCCCTCTCATGCCTACAGGCAGGGGTTCCAAACCATCTATTGCCCCGAAACCTAAAGTCACACCAGAGATTAATGACAACCAAGGAAGATGCAGTAATGGCAGCTTACTGACCTTGGATGGTGAGGCTGATGAAGAGCACGAGGCGGAGAATGGTCTAAACAAAGTGATTACAGCAGAGGACCAGTTCAACACCTACATCTTCAAATCACCACAAAAATATTTACACAATGTGTCACAAAGGCCAGAAGACATAAAGGTGACAGAAGAGGAAAAGGAAGAGGAAGAAGGCATGATTCTGAAGATGGATGAGGACTGGAGATTAACTGACAGTGCCCTGACAGAAGAGGACTCCCTGGAAACACTGTGGGTCAGTGATGCTGGACTCATGGCTGACTCCGAGGAGGTGGTGAAAATGATTGACACAGACCTGATGGAGGACATGGACACTGACGGTTGTGATGCAGGCGAGGCACTGGCTGACACAGATGGCCTCTCAGTGGGCAATATTTCTGTTAACAACATTGATGAGGAGGCCGGTTGCAATTCAGCTGAAAAGCGAGATGTGAAGGAGAGGCAGAAAAAGTTCCCAATCAAGGAGCATGAAGCAGGTGACTGCACAGCAGATGATTTATCTGAGTCTCTCACAGAGGAACCTGCTGTCCCCATTAGTGAAAACATGAAGCACACTAATACACAGGTTTTTCCAACAGATGGAGAGGACAAAGACGAGGAATCTGCTCCTGATTGTGGCATCACTTGTAACATCCTGAAGTTGGGGTGTGGCCATAAAATTAAGGAAAAGGGCGGAAACAGAATACAGAATATTAGTTTCTATGACTTTATCCCTGAAGACCAGAAACTGATCAGTGATACAACCAAGGGACATGTTGCCTTAGAGGACAATCCAACTCATGAGCCTTATTATGTTTCCTCAGAGGACATTATTAACAGAGATATGATGTCAAGGACTGAAAAAGCTCATGGACTAGCAGAGAGCCCACAAACACCACACATGGTTTCATCTGTAAACAGCAGTGAAATGTCAGATCAGAATTATGACAAAACGGCAGAAAATGGACAAATAAAATGTGTTTCTTCTGAGGATTATGTGAAAATTGGTAACAGTGATGAGTACGGCAGCAACAGTGGTGATGAGAACAAGGTGAGAACATGCCAAAAAAGGATGTCCTTCAAAAAGGACGATCACAAAGCTCATGGAGCAGAGGCCTTGTTGAATCATTTTGACTACCAGCCAAGGTTCAGGCTGGTGTCCATCTCTGTGCCAACAGACACTGACACCTCGCTGACCTCTTCTCTCTCAGAAAGCCACCTGCTTTTCCCAAATAACTCGAATGTCTTCAGAGATGACCTAGAGGGTCACATCATGCCTATTCTGGATGACACCACTGATACAGAGCATGACAGTAGTGATGAGCATGTTTATGAGGAGCCAAGGCCCAGTTTAGAGGGTGACAATATTTTTCCTTCTGACAGGAAGTTCATGGGGATGCAGTCACGCTCATTGTCACACCGCATTAATAACCTTGAGACGGGAGTTCAGTTTGTCCAGAAGCCGTACATGAGTGGATTCGGACAACCTGCACTAAGCAGCAGCCCCATGTTAAGCTCAGTGCAACATAAGAGCTACTTCAAACCCCACTATTTGTCTTTGTATCCCCGCTCCCTCTCCATGGAAGGACAGGACACGCCTCTGTGCATCTACAGAGACAGGGAAGGATCTCCAAGACACAGAGGTGCCATTTGTTCATCTGGAAGCTTCTCCAGGTGCTCACCTCTCTCTTCCAGTGGCCTGTCCACTCCAACATCTGTGGTGGATATCCCTCCTCCGTTTGAGCTGGCCTGCATCACCAAGAGGCCCATCACAAAGAGTTCCCCCTCACTTCTAATTGAGGAAGATTCATCAGAAAAAAACAGGACAAAGAAATCCTCTATTAAGCGCTTCCTGATGTTGAAATTTAGGAGGAAAACAGAAAACAAGCCTGCGGATGTTAACCCATCCTCTTCTAAGGCCACAGCAGCGTCCAGCCACCACATGACTAGCAGACAGTTGGATTTAGATAGACACAGCATGAGTAGCTCTCCACATCTCAACTCACGCTTTGCTCGAAAACCTCAAGTTTCATCAGAGCAGGCCTCCACCTTCTTGTTCTACAAAGAAAGCAAAAGAAAGGGGAACTCTGTGGCCTTCCTCAATCGCAGTGTCATCCGAGTGGAGTCCTTTGAGGACCGCTCCCGTGTACCTTTCACACCTCTTCCCCTGACCAAGCCTCGCTCCATTTCCTTCCCCAACACCGATACCTCTGATTATGAGAATGTCCCCGCCATCAGCTCAGACTATGAGAACCTCCGGGTCCCACAGCAAAGGCCTGTTTGTCAGGGACCTTTCACAGACTTCTTTGACCGTCCCAATCGAGTGCTGTCTTCTGCCAATGAGACCGATGGTTATGTGGACATGAGCAGCCTCCCTGGTTTTGAAAGTAAAACTCAGTTGTCTGAACAGGAAACAGAAAGGTATGTAAACAAAACCAAGAATCTACAGCCATGCTAGTGGCTCTGTGTGGCTGCAATTAGGAACAGCAGTTCTTTGAGTTGAATGCTAGCATCACCATGCAATTATCACCACAGTGACAATGCTCATGCTGATGTTTGGCAGACATCATGTTTACCATGGCCACCCCCATTTTAGTTTATAATGTTAGCATGCTAACATTTGCTAATTAATGCTAAACGCAAAGTATGGCATTGATCATAATCTAAAGCACTGGACAAATCAAACTTTTTATATGATGATGATGCTAGAAAAAGTATCTAATATACATACTATATGTATCATCAAACTCAGGATGATTCATCACCTGGGGCTCATGAGTGTCTGTACCAGATTTCAAATCAAACCATGCAATAGTTTTTGAGATATTTCAGTCTGGATCAAAGTGATGGACAAAGCCATGCCGCTAGCGTGGCTGAAACTTGTGTGCATTCATGGATATTGACGCTGCTGGACATAATATTAGTAATCCTTGTCACCTTTTGGGCCAAGCACAGGTGTTTTTTTTTTATTGCTGCTTGGCCACTGTGTGAGTTTAACAATGCCCTCGAGGAGGAGGATTTATAACTGTTTATTATGTTGAGTCCCCAGGCACTGTGATCACAGCAGACATGGACCTGGTGTTCAGTAGTATAGGGGAAAGTGCAGGACAGTAACATCCCTCTTGTGTTGCAGTGCAATACAAATGTGTTGCGTTTGGGTGTTGTTAGGGTGTGTTAGAAGGGATAACGCTGTCAGAAGTGGTGGTCTGTTCAGATCTAAGTGAACACAGGATGGTTTCACTCATAAATCATCTCTTTAGGTGCAGAAATGGCCACTTGTGTTGTTGTTGTAGAGCTTCTCGCCTCCCAGGCGTGATGTTGTTTGTTGGTATGATCAGCCATGCTGTGCTGATATTAACCCATCCCCCTGCATTCCTGTTTACTGTGCTTATATCATACTGGCAGCTCAGGATGATTAATAGTCAGAGCATTTTGGAGTCATTGCTCTTCTCTAGCCAGTCAGAAACAACAGGCTGAGATACAATCTCAGTATGGTCTGTAGTCAGCAGTTGTTCACTGCAGTGCTTCCCTCTCATCATGTTCAAACACTTTGGTGCATGTCCAAGCAAAACTGAGCAACAAAGGCTGTAAAATACCAATTTTGTTGAAATGGATGGCAAAATTGGTTTGAAACCAAAACGTAATGTTTTGTATTACTTCAAAGTTCTAGAGGCAGATACACAGTGCATTAAAAGATACAAGTCTTCATTCTGTCCTCGACTCCACCATCTTGTGGGTTCAGTCCCAATGACGACTAAGTCCCCTGTCTGCCTGTTACAAATGAGTGAGTGTTTGTACACATCAATTTAATCTTGGGCTTGTCCATATTCTGTAGTGTATGATATTTGTTTTTTTCATTTAAGTTAATCATGTTCTTTTTGAATATGAACAGGTAAATACCAGCCTGCACAGATTTAATGGATTCATAGTAAACATAACTGTGGTGGTTTCCGGCATAATACGCGTGCCAAATGTATACATGCAAACAGTTGACATGCTGTGACGACCCCTAATGGGAACAGCCAAGTGTAGTAGTAGTAGTAGTAGTAGTAGTAGTAGTAGAAGGTTTTATTGTTAGGTTGTTTCCAAAGCATGATAACAGACGTGTGAATCAATGATGACTTTAGCTTCTGTCTGAATTCAAATTGGTGTGTATGGAATGTGAACTTGCTACCATTTGCTTCCCCTGCTGAATTATTAATTTCCGCAATATAAATGTTACTAATGCAACTGGAGAAGCAAAAGTTATGTGTAAAATTTGTGTTTTTTTGTTCAAGTAATTTATATTGCACCTCATTTCTATTGAGTGCCATTGTTTTGTCATTAATGCAGTGTATATCTTGTTACTCCATACAATATAACCTTGGTCTTGATTCAGTAAAATCTGAATGGTACCAGTCTGCCTATAGTATGGTTGCAGTACAAATTTGGGCAGGTGAGATTTCAGAGTTTAGGAACACTGGAGATGCCTCTTTTAGCATTAAGGGTGTATCATCTTTATATCATTGTTTAAAATACGCGGTTGAAAAAGTTACATTCCCAGGTATAAGAATGTCAGCTTTCTGTGCTAATAGTAAACAAAGACACTAGTATGATTGGTTCAAGCAGCCCCTGATATCTCATCCAAAGTTTGATCCGGTGAGCAGTAATGGGCCATGCAGCATTAATGTGTGCAATGCAGAGATCTGAACAGCTCACATATGTTGTTCATATGTAGCTCATTTGCATCTCAGTGGGGTTAACTCCATTGCTGCTTGGAGGGAAACATGCGAGCACCATTGGCAAGCCAATTGGTCACAAAGAGGACTACCGCAACACTACTGTAACTTAAGGATGTGTTTTTATTTGCATAGTTTACACTCCTCACTGAGCGGCATCCATTAGCATATTCATTTGGGCTCCCTGCAGAAGAGAATCTTGTAGTATAAAATACCGACATTCGTCCCTGGTTGGGTACAGTTGTCACCACAGGCCTTTCATGATCAGTTTATTGGTTTGTGTAGACCGGAAATGTTTTATCTATTCACATCTGTCTCTAACACTGAATACAGTGCATTTATTATAGTGATATTTCAATGTAGTGGACCATAAAGATGATGAAACTCATCAGATTTATTTTCATATGAATGAATGCAGTTAACATAAAACTACTACGTCACATTTGTGATAAAAACTGAAAAAAATTGAAATGCGGACTAGAGCACTGGTTCCCAACATGTGGGGTGAGACCTCCTAGTGGGTCTCAAGATAAATGTGTGGTTGAAGTGCTCACCAGTGTCCACGCTAAGGCTACAACCTGTGACGGGGGGCCGGAACAACTGGACCAGACCAACCATATATTGTAGCTGAGTCCTTTTGTTATGGTTTAGTCCCCCTCACCAGGAGGGTGAGAGATAACTGAGGTAGGACTCATGAGTGCAGATCCAGGTGCTAGTAATAAAAAGGTGGTTTAATGGTGGCCTCACAAAAAGGAACAGTCAATGAATACATACAACCAGTGTCGGACAGAGATGGTTGAGGAGACCAGGACGAGCAGATGAGTAGACAGAACAATGGCAGGAACCAGGAGAGTTAGAGGACTAGGACAGACAGGTGAGTAAACAGAACAACCAGGAGGATTAGCAAACGACGTCAGGGAAGCAGAGTAGCGAACGAAAAAAAAAAGAAATCAACAGATCAGGAACTGTCAGCGTTGAAATAAATTACGCATCGCTAAACGCATGGACAAAAAAACATATGCAGGTATGTCTACAGGTAATTCGGTATAATGCTCTGGCGAAGATGGAGCATCTGCCAGAGGTTTAAATAAGGAGAAAGGTAATCACAGGAATGCACCCCAGCTGTGCACACCGACAAACGAGTCACTCATTACCGAATGCAACACAGCTGAGGTGCCGATCCCGCAGGTCAAGAAAGAGAAAGGAGGAAGAGAGGCAGGCCATGCCGAGCAGACCTTACACCTTTGGAGTTTTAGATAAATGTTTGATTTGTTGAATCAGTTTTGAATTATTCCAAATGATAAATTACTCTTTTGGATAATCTGTTTTCTAATCTATTACTCAGATAGCCTATACAACTCAATTGTGTGTTGCTCAACATTTATACTTATTTAATTCATGTTTTAGTAATTTGTGTGTATGTATGGTTCATTTTACTGACATGTCCACCCTTCTTTCTTCCCAGTGCCTATACAGAAGCCTACAATGTGTGCTCGGTGGCTATTGGTCCACAGACTGGTTCAGTGGGTGATGTTGTTGGAGAAACGGTGAGTGAAGAAGACCAAGGATGCACCTCGGATGAAGAAGACAAGGGTGCAGACAGCAGTTATGACAGACAGGTTAGTAATGACAAATGTGTGTTGAGTTTGTGTAGAAATTGAAAAAAATATTTTTATAGTGTGTAGAAACATGTCAATATGCTTATTAAAATTTCAGATGCTGTATATGGAATGTTACCCACTATCCTTTAAAGTTTTACTTAATGTGTTTTATTTTGTACCATCACTTTGAATGAGCAGGTGTCAGCCTTTACCAAACAACAAATATGAAGACGTGTTTGGAGAACAGATCACAGCAAAGTGTAAAAAGTGTATTGTTTTTCACCTTGGGCAATTGCTAAAATTGCCCTCACAAGCCAGAATTGTAATGCAGGTTAATGGAGGTTAATGGCCTGCTACAAGGCTGTCCTCATTATTTAGAATTTGATTGCTACTTGGAGATGATGTGGAGAGGAAAGTCAGCTATATTTGCTGAACTGGTGCCAAAATGCTTTAGCTCCTCCTAACTCTGGACCTATTACTAGTAAATAATATTGTTATTTACAGCCTGATGGTCGATCCAGAGCCTTTTACATCGCAAAAGAACTGGTTGATACAGAGAGACTGTAAGTTAAATGTAAATTCATTATGAAGCATCACTGCCTATTTGTCAGACCTACTCAAGTTATTAGTAAAATGTGTATCTATTTCCCTGATCACAGGCATGTGAAAGCCCTCAAGCTTCTTCAGGATGTGAGTATATTCTTATTAAATTTACTAATGCAATGAATGTGTTCAGATATTCTCTGTAGAACTGGAGCTGCAGAGTTATGTTCATGATTTATTTAGATTTATTGTTCCTGTGTGGGGATTAAACCAGTGACTTAGACTGCCACTGCTCCAGTGTTTGAAGGGATGATGAAGCTTCTTGATATAACAGCTCATGTACTCCCTGCTGTCAGATATTATCTTGCTATACTACTGCAGTGGGAGTGGAGGAAAAATGGGAAGAAAGTGCAGACTTGAGTGGAATTGTAAGTTTGAACATAAGTATAAAACCTAATCGTTCTTCCACCCTTTTTCCGGTGTACCAGGACTTTCGGGAGGCAGTGGGGGCAGCCGTTGGGGATGAGGGGGAACCTGTATTGGAAGAAGAACGGCTTCGAGAGATTCTCAGTGAGCTGCCCGATGTTTACACCCTGCACCGCCGAATACTCACCGAGCTGGAGAATCGAATCCGACACTGGTGGGACGTGTACACAGCACACATCCATGCACACATATGCTATAACTACAAGGAATGAACTGGCTTCTTCAAGTACACACATTAATACAGCTCAGAAATCATTAAAAATAACCTGAAGACTGGTGAATGCTGCTCTTCCTTCATCCTCACCCCTCTGTCTTTCCAATTAGGGAAGAGAGCCAGAGGATCGCAGACATCTTCCTGTCTAGAAAAGCAGAGTTCTTGGTTTTTACCACTTATATTGGCCACTATGACCGAAGTATGAGCCTGCTGGAGGACAGCTGCCAAACTTCACCTGCCTTTGCAGCCATCGTTCACCAGTTTGAGGTCAGACCAACAGTGTATTTCTAACACATAACACAAAACGCATAATACAGTCCATAAAAATCAGCATTTAAAACCATGCCAAACTTTTCTGAAACCTCAGTTTTAAAGTCAAAACTGCACACACAAGCCACAAACGAAGAGATATCTGAGAATTACATGCATCTGATGGGAAAGAACTAGCAAAATGAGCAAAAGGCAAACAGCTAAGTGAATAAAAGTAATAATTTTAATTTAAAATGCAACACTGTGTTCTTTGCTGTTAAAAGAAGCTGTCATGACTCTCCAAGGAAAACTATAAACATTATAGCCACTCAGAACAACAATTAAACACTAAACAGCGTTTTAAAAACAGGGGAATCCTAAAATTAATGCAGGTTGCATTGAACATGATGATATGTTTAAAGTTCATCAGGGAGAATGTACCATCTGTTCACTATCCACAGTTTTATTTATAACCAAATATTATCCACCCTGCTGCCTTGTACACAGCTTGGCTGAGATCAATGGTAAGATTAGTGTGTTGTTTCTTTTTTTGTTAGTTTCCACAGGGTGGCACGGACGATTACACCCTTTTGTAAAAGTCTAGCTGGACTGTAGCGGGAAACCCAGTGGCACTATATAGCTGCATCTCATTTATGAACAAAGGAGTTTTCAATATTTTTTCTGCCTTTTATAGACCACGGAGGAGAGGAGTTGGCAGGAAGTCTTTGCAGAGCTGGGCAGTTTGTCTGATTTAAGAGCGCTCATGTTTAAAAGTCCTTCTCCTAAGCACTTTGTGTATTAATGTCAGTGCAGTAAACTTCTGAATTACACCTGCCTAAGGACCAAAAAAATTAAAACTCCAGGTAAAATACAGTATTACACACATACACTGCTGACCAACGATCTGTGTTGTTGGCCTTTGTTCACTCCCAAAGTATGACTGATGGTTCCTTTCAAAAGTCTTAAGTTGTTGTACGGTTTGATGTTGTCAGTACAATTTTCAGTTTCTCTGTCAGTGTTTTTACAGAACCCTTGGTTGGCCAAGGTTCATGTGAATTTCTCCTGTAAATCTGGCCCTAAGCAATGGGAATAATCGAAATAAATGTTGAATTTGCATTTGTTTCTTTGCCTCAGCAGCAGAGTCCAGCTAGGGAAAAAGTGTCTCTCAGACATCAGCTCCTGCAGGTCATTGTACGTGTGGCTCAGTATCGCATGCTCCTCACCGGTGAGTCAAAAAAAAATGAGATTCACTTTAATATGGACACAGTATTTCCTCTGAATAAAAAAATAATTGACTCATAGTGGTAGTTGTCTTGACTCCCTGAAGACAATCATTTTTCTTCATTCCTCTTATAGATTACCTGAACAACCTGTCCCCAGATTCCAAGGAATATGAAGACACCCAAGGTACAGTAAGCAAACAGCAATCTCAGTGTTTTATTTATTTAAACTTTATTCTTCCAGGGGAAATCCCAGTGATTTCTACAACCTTTTTGTCAAGGGAGACCTGGCCAGAGGCTGCTCACTCTTCTCTCTGTTGCTCACAGGAGGGCCTTACTGGCCTCCGTTTGTGGCTGTGTATTTACAGGGAATTTATTCATGCTCATTTTGCATGCTGAGATGGCCGTGAGAGCACTGATATAGATTTCTTTGTTTGCGGTGCTAACCCGCCAGGCAGCCATTTAATTTCTTTCCTGTGTGACAAACGTAACGTGTAATTCACGAGAAGGCGAGTTGCAGCAGCATTATCTCTTACTGTACCTCCGATACGAGAGTCCAGGCTTGTAGGCAGGTCCTGATTCATTTTTGACTTTTATGTTAGGTGACTTTCCACATAGAAACAAGGAGAAAAGAAATATCTCATCAAATATGCAAGCAATATAAAAATGTATTGGGAATGTGTTCACTTCTAAACATGTAGTGTCCTTCCTGTATTTTTTAGCTGCTGTGGTGATAGTGTCTGACATTGCTGATCAAGTAAATGACAGCGTAAAACATGGGGTAAGTGTCACATATGTACTGTAACTCTTGAGCCCAACAAAGAAACATTTTCAGTGAGAATTTCTATCTTATTTTACACTGAACACACAGACATTAAAACACATATCTGCAAAATCAACTCAACCAACTACTTCCAACAATATGAATGATTTCTGTGCAATAAAAGTCTCTGATTAATAGTCTTACTCCACACGTTTATGTATACTGAAGTCATTATAATGTTAAGATCATCCCTGCTCAGTCATCCACCCAAAGTTTAGGCCTAAAAAGATTATTCAAGAAGGAAGGTTAATTACTTCCTGATTAAATGAAGAGTCACAGATTTGATTTTACACTGGAAGAAATATAAAAACAACAGTAGGAAATATATATGTAAATCATACTCTTTACTCAGAGTTGAATCTGCTATCAGGAGACCAAACTTTGTGAAACTCAAAGATCAGTGAAAATCAGTCTGTTTTTCCAATTTAGCTAATTAATTTATGATCCCCTGACTTTTCCTCTACCACCACCGGCAGCTAAGATTTTCAATTCCAGGGAAATATCTTAACATCAACTTGATAGATTGGCACATAATGTTCAATGTACAGACCTTCATAGCTCTCAGATGATGAATCTTACAATAATGACTGTGGTAATCACTTCTCTTGATTTGATTAACTGATCAACAACTATTGGATGGATTACTGTAAAAGAATTATTACAGCTTTGGTACAATTCAATTAACTAAATGTTTACAGGGTATTCTAGTAATCTGATAACATCAGAATCTGTTTAATGTTTTGGTTTAACACCAAAACCCTATTAAATTGTTAAATTAACTTTATTCCCATCAGGAATTTCTCTAAATTGTTCTTAGTGTGAATTAGCAGATGCTAATGCTAGCACACTCAGTTGAGATGTTGGTGACTATACATTCTAAACATGATCATATCAGCATTGTCACTGTGAGCATGTTAGCATTCTAACGTAGCCCATAGCTTGAACAACTGCTGTACCTGAATTGTGTTTTTTTTTGGCTGCTAGCATAGTAGTTTTAGTTAAACTGCAAATGATAATGAATAATCTAGCTTTTTCTAAAGAAAACAACAATACATGACATGTCTGTCTGATTCAAGTGATAACTCTTTCTAAATGGTGTCATTATAATACCCAAGTAGAAGAAAACAGTCAGAGGTTTACAGGAAATGACCAGTAATATGCTTTCATCGTTTCTCTTAGTTTGTCATTGCATTTTCTCCCTGTGTTTCTGTTCGTTCTCTCTTTGTGTCCCAGGAGAACTTACTGCGCCTGGTCAACATAGAGTACAGTGTTCATGGCCAGCAGGACCTGCTGCAGCCTGGCAGGGTACGACTCTGATAACGGCATTGTTTCTGTCCAAAAGCTTGCCAGCCCTCCCTGTCTGCCCTGCACCACCCGCGTTGCCCTTTAACCAAAAATTCAGCCAGGAATCCTCAGTCAACCTGATTTTGGAAAAATGTTCATTACTCCCTGCATCTTGTTTGTGTCATAATCACATGATTTGTGAGAAGTTCTGTTTGATTTACTTCTGTGTATATGAATTTTTATCAGGTGTTTGTGAAGGAGGTCACACTGATGAAGGGCAGCAGGAAGAGCCGACAGCCCCGCCATCTGTTTTTGGTAAATGCTTTTTCCTGTTTTACAGTATTAATACATAGACACCATCTTTATATTTGTTTCAGCATGAAAGTACAGTAGGCTCATAATAAATAAAATAATGTAGAAGCAAGGTAGCTGAATCTAACTGATCTAAATGAATTGACAATATAATTTAGATCATTCTTCACGGCCACAGCCAGGTCAGCACAATATAATTCATTTCATAAAGACACAGTTGAAAAAGTGTCGAATTAGAGAGACAAACTGCAGTAAACATTCAGTTTGTGAATTCATATCACAGAGATGGCTCCAAAATGTAATTAAGAGAGGTTAGAAAATTAAATGCCTTTTCAAATTATCCATCGAGTACCATCAAAGCACATTGCCTTTCCCTCCTGTGATGTTTTTGAAATTTGTGATCTGGGCCCGACACTAAAAAAGCTCATAAATGTCTCTTCTGGACAAATGTTGGTAATCATTTCTGCATAACTTTTATCCTGCCGGTTTATCCACCCAGACCCCGATCACATGTTATTAGCTGTTATTAATGTTGGAGACAGCATATAGTCATAAAACAAGTCTGCAGGAACTGGCAGTTTTCTGAATAAGGTGCTGAGACACACAGGGACAGCGAGTAAAATCATCCACTGGAAAAATAATATAGAGATTTGTGATGTTATGTGATATCAACTTTCATATCTATTTACTGAAGTGTCTCATTTGTGTGCCATTGTAAAAATCTAGGTTAAGGGCTGTAAATTTTTTGATCCCCCCCCAGACCCGTTTTAGGACATATACCAATACCACCAATTTTTATATGTAGCTGAACTTTATATTCAAGTTTTGTGTTTACTATTTGAGGTGTAAGTCAACCAGCAGAGAGACTTGTTCTGTGTAGTGTGTAGTTTCTTAGGGAGAGACTGAGCGTATGTGTTTGTTGTGTGTGAGCAGGTAAATGTACAGATTGTGTTTATGTTTAGTGGCTATAAATGTGCACCCTCCTATTGAGATTAAGACAAAAATGCACAATGTGTCAGTTGTGAAAGAAGTACTCAGATTGTTTACTTAAATAAAAGTAATACCACAGTATAAAAATACTCTTTCAAAATGTAATGCCTATGTAAAAGTACAAAAGCATTGGCATCAAAATATACTTAAAGTACCAAACGTAAGAGTACTCACTATGCAGTATAGCATATTTCACATTAATGTATGTTATGTTATTAGATTATAATTTTTGATGCATTATTTTGTACATCACATTTAATATTGCAACTGGTAAAGGTGAAGCTCAGTTGAACTACCTTATATGCTTATAATTTGAAGTACTGCAGGGTATTTTGTGAATTTCGCGCCAGGGTCAATAAAGTCAGATGATTATGTTGTATTTTGTATAGTTAATCTGATTTTGAAAAATAACTAGTAACTAAGTTTATCAAATAAATGTAGTGGAGTAAAAATATATTAGTCTTTAAAATGTCGTGAAGTCAAAGTATGTGTGAAGTAACAGAAAATGAAAATACTCTAGTACAGGTATTTCAAAACTGTAGTTAAGAGCAGTACTTGAGTAAATGTACTTTGTTACTTTCCACCTCTGCAGTGTGTTGCAAATTAAGTGCTTGAATTCACTTTGTGGGAAGTCAAGGTTTGCTTAGCTTAGAGCGCCACCTACTGGAGAAGCTCTGCATAGCTGGGCAGCTGACTGTACATACTGTATATTTTATTTTATCTTCTAATGTGCCTTCTTATTATCATTTACTGAAGATTTGTTTATTCTGCATGTTCACTTTAAATTGTGAATGTTTTCTGTATTGTCAGATGAATGATGTGTTGCTCTACACCTACCCTCAGCAGGATGGAAAATACAGGCTGAAGAACACTCTGTCACTCACTGGGTTGAAGGTCTGAGTCTTTCATTAAGTCTCACTGATTGTCAGTCAGTCTAATTCCTCACCACTATTTTCACTTTATTATATATAGTTTATTACATCAAAATGCCTCAGAACTTTATTTGTAATGTTGCAAAATGTTGTTGTGAGTCTTGGATGATCCCCCAGCTGTCAGATCACCCCAACCTGTTACTTCTTTCCCTCTTTTTGTCTTTCTGATGTTGGATTTATGATATTACTGATTAATCACCCAGGTCAGTAAACCCATCATTGAAGATGTTCAAAATGTTCTGAAGATCGAAGGAAATTACATTTCCATCAGTTTGTCTGCAAGGTGGGTCACACTGGGCTGTGTCCTGTTAAATCATTAACAACTAATAATGGCAATGATGAGAAATGTCCTCATAGTCATTGAAGTAATTGCTAAAACCTAAACTTGTAAAATGCTTACTCATGCAGGTGATGCTTGGCATATTGATGTTGAAGATTTTTGTATGGTTTCACAAAAAAACCTGTAAAATCTTCATTATTATAATGGTGGAGTGAGTTTGTGTATTTATTTTTTTGCAGTTCTTTCATTGAAAGAGAGGACTGGTTTTACACTCTAAACCGCACAGTGACTGAACACACAAGAGGAATGACAGCAGGATTCAACAGCTGCTCAGGAGAGGTGAGCAAACTCTGCCTCTGTGTTCATCTGTTATATCATGACTTCATGGCATTTTCTTCAGTTGTGCTTATCCTCACCAACCAGAACGAGACCAGTGTTACACCTCAGTCTCCCCACTGTGATAAAGTGTGTGTGTGTGTGTGTGTGTGTGTGTGTGTGTGTGTGTGTGTGTGTGTGTGTGTGTGTGTGTTCCAGGCCAGAGATCATCCATCTTTGTCTCTGGGGGAGAAGGCTCCCACACTTGTTCCAGTCTCACAAGTGATGATGTGTATGAACTGCACATCAGATTTCAGCCTCACTCTTCGCAGACACCACTGCCATGGCTGCGGGAGAGTGAGTCACTCATAGATTAAAAAAAACTGTGCTATGTGATACTTTAATATCCGACCAACATAATGTAACTAATTGAGCTTTTGACTAGAGCACCGTGTGCTTGAATGTGTTTTCATTGTGCCTGTGGTGCTTGTATGTTCCCTGACACAGATTGTCTGTCGGAGCTGCTCCAGGAACAGATACCCACTAAAATATATGAAAGACCGCATGGCTAAAGTGTGTGATCACTGTTACAACGAACTAAAGAAGAGAGGTGGGAAAATTCTGCCTGATTGCATCTGTTTGTGTTCCTACCAGCCCACATATGTCAGTGATGCTATTGTTCTTATAACAGATAGGGGCAGTTTAGTTACCCTTAACTAGTCAGCTATAGCACTGATTATTAGCAGAGGGAGACCCAGTGTCAGGCTGAGTTAAATAGGTGTGTTTCCATTGGAGAGTTCCTGGTACTGTTCATTCCCAGGAATTAATGTCCAAGAACGTTCCATTGGGTAAAAGTTTCTTGAGTGCATTGTGATTTCATTTCATTAGCAGGGCCGAAGTCCCAGGGAAATTAAATAAGTTAGCATTTCAAAAGCATGGCAGCCAGCAGTGAATGCTGTATATAAAACGCAGTGCAGTTTTTGACCAATCAGTAGCATTCAGCACTGCCGGCCTCCCCTGACAGTTCTTGGACCTTCACAAAGGACTACTCCTTGTCAAGGGACTTGTTAGGGGATGGAAATATGTCATAGAACTAAATTTAGATGGTGGTTCATCCAGTGGAAATGCAGGCATAGGAACTAAGTTCTGAAAAATGTTCTAGTTCCCTGGGGAGAGTAAAGGGGATTTTTTTGGATCTTAAAATATGATCTTTGTCCAGTAACACATTGCTCAGAAATGTTTATTTTAAAAGTCACTGATGTAAGACATCAGTATTGAACAATTAAACTGCTATGCTCTGCTGTCAGTGTGATAGTTAGAGATTTATGTTTTGTTTTTGCTGTGGATTAAGAGCAACTGTGTTTCTCTGCAGCGCTGGATGTGTCTGCAGTGACAGGTAAAAATAGCCCTCGTCTAAACCGCTCCAGTCGCCCTCTTTCTGCTGTGTTCCAAAACATTCATCCACCCAACATTTGGAGACATCGGAAAGGCACTGCCTCCTTCAGCCAGGTACACCTGTGCCATGCACCTCCCTGCCCTTGCAGAGGAACTATGTTTACCACACAGTGCAAATTAATATAGAGTTGATCATGTGGATGACAGCTATGCCATACTGTTGTGCAGGTGACAGTCTCAGAGGAAGGCTCCATTAGTGGCAGCCTGCAGCGCAGCAAGAAGAGCAAGAGGAACTGGAAGAGAATGTGGTTCCTCCTAAAAGACAAGGTGCTTTACACCTACCGGGCCCAAGAGGTGAGGGGAAACATGCACTCCCCTTTAACCTGAACAAAACATATTCACATTCAAACAGACCAGTGAGGAGGCATCACCGAGGGTTTTGGTGCAAAAAAAGCAACCCATAGCTACATTTCTGATCCTTATAATGCATTTCTTGTTCCCTTACAAATTTTTTGTTTGTAGGAGACAGTAGCATCAGAGAGTTTGCCTCTCTTGGGTTTCACAGTGAAGCTGCCTGACAAGCAAGAGGAAGAGGAAGGCAGCATCTTCCAGCTTTACCACAAAAGCACTTTGTATTACACGTTTAAAGCTGAGGACAATTACACAGCCCAGAGGTGGGAAGCATGCCGCTTATTGTACCTGATAGCTACTTTAAAAATTCAAATTTAAAATAGTCTGCCAGCTCAAGGACTATTACTGTAGTGTGGTTATTGGAGGCTAAAAGAGACTCACCATAACCTGGTGCCACAATCTTTGCCAGTGTGAATGACTCACATAGCTACTATTGACAAGTTGTTCCTAGCTGGAAACAACAGAGAAAAGAAAAACAAAAATGTTTTATAACTTTCACATTACTCAGTGAGTTCCAAAGGGTTTATTGGGCCCATGATCGGAAGGTTTTCTTTGACCCACAGACGTGGATGTAATGCTTCATCTGAAGAGGAATCCTGAGCAAATCTGGAGTTTGAGCATTTTTTTCTGAACAACATAAAGGTGTAGACAGAGAGGTTTGTTAAAACTTACTCTTCTATGACAAATCGTCATTATTAAAATTTAAGAGGACACTATAAAATTAGACAGCATTCAGAGACCGCAAACCTCCTGCAAAGCAAATAATTGTCCCCACAGTGCTAGTCCACAAAGAAGCAATATTTCCATGGTAGTTTGAGGCTCATAATATGATTTCCTCACCATGAAAACCCAGTCATAGCATATGGAATCACACTGATATCATTATTAGTTTGAAAGTTATTCAAGAATAATGATATTTCAGTAATGGTGGTTTTCTTCAGGATGTAGCTCAGACACCTACTGAATCAACAGAGTTTCAGCTAGAAATCAATATTAGTTTTTCAAGTCTATAGCTTTATTTGTCTTAGTCGAGTTATATGGGGAACAAACGAACCAACAAATGCTGGTAGTTTTTAGGCAACACAGACAAAAAGGACTCTTTTAGCACAACTGCAGTTTATGCTGTTTTTCCTAATCTAATATCTCCTTACACAGGTGGGTAAATGCCATGGAGGAAGCCACAGTTTTATAGGATCAGCTACTCTGGTGGGTTTCTGAAAATAAGCCTGCTGCTTTTCCTTAGCTACAAAGAGACAGTGAAACCAAAAAAGGAAATATTTGATTATGTCTGCAAGTTGTAACTTTCTTGGCTGGACTGAAGAAAAGAAGACACCATGTTCTTTGAGCAGGGGACATGATCACCTACTTTGTCAACCTCCAGTGTCCCCTGCCTGCTGTTGCAGCTGGTGTGATCCTAAGAGCCACGAGAGGCATTGGCCCAGATACCTGCCAACGCGGAACTGGCGTGGCCTGTATTTTCCCAAGCAGCTGATCAGCGACATTCTTCCAAATCATGTGGAAGTTTTCAAGACGGCATGAAGAAACTGTGTCAATGACAGAACAAAAACATATGTAGTTTTACTTTTGTTTCCAGCTGATAAAATAGTAACAGATTTAACCTTGTCCAAATCTGGAATGGCCTCAGTTAAAAATTATACCTTCATTTCAACATGTTACTGGATTGAATACATCTCTATGACTAATACTTTGAAGCACAGTCTGAATATAATGAATGAGTAATTTTATACATATAGACATGTCTGTAGCTTTGCCATGTACTGTATTGTTGGAGACAATACTGCCAGTGAATAAATAGTTCTTATGCTTTTTTGCACTGATATAGAGGAATGAACCTGAAAAAGAGATATGACTGTACTTTTATCTTAAAGACCAAAAGCTTCATCTACTGTACATTACTTACTTGATTTACTTAACATAATTTTTTACTGGGAAAATGTGGACAAGTATGCAGATTTACATACCTATGAAAAGTATAATGTAAATTCATTTGTGCATAAAGACACATCCAGTTGTGCACAGATTCTGTTGCCCTGGACTGAACCACTAAACCACCAAACACTGATCTCACTGAAGAGTCAGTGTCTTGGACTTTGTACTGTACTTAATGATGTATTTAGTTTATTTCTAACATTTATTTTAAAGTCAAGTAAAGTGCAGTGTTTTCTCTTTATCCACTAGGTGGCAGTTGAGCTAAGCATTAAAGTACAGCAGGCTGTAATTGACTTGTCACCTTATCCTGGCTGATACAGCTTGGTACATACATTTAAAAGGGAAACTTTCCCCTGTGCTGCTCACTCCACTTGTAGCACCCTCTGTCATGGTAGTGTCAACATGTAGTCCATATATGGCCTGTTCAGATGAAACACCCAGATGGCAGGTGTTTCAGAGCTGCTCAGGAAGACACCGTGATTGGAGTGACACACAGATCGGTGAGCTGTGTGGTCAAAGTAAGGCCAAGCCTGCTCTGCTTCTCATCTCCCCCTGAGGCTTTGTGACCCAGAATAATATCAGCCAAAAAGTTTGCTTTCTAGGGCTGCTGAAAAGTTGCAGACACCTCGTCCTACATAGAGGACAGATCATTCATCACTCTGCTCACCCTCTTTAGCCCCAGTTCTATTTTCTGTCTGTTCTAGCCTCAGAGCTTTCATGTTTGTATTTTTACCTTACTTCTCCTTGTGATTTTTTTTGTTTGTTTGTTTCAAGAAAAGGAAAAGGGGAATCACTGTGCTGTGCTAGTTGAAGAGTAAACAAGACTTAAACTCAAATGTCCAGTTGAGCTTTTAATGATTCTCTGTGTGCTAATTGATTTAAAATACAAGTGATGGAAGCTTGCTGTGGGATTGATGGTGGACAGAGGGATGTGTTTTTTACACCAGGGCAACAACTGTGTCATAATCCAAGCTTACTTCCATATCACCGCAGGCAGGAGCAATGCAGAGAGAAGCAAATAATCAATTGTACTCACACAGCCTACTCACTGAGGTTTGATACATTCAGCTCTGTTATGTGCACTCAGCCTAAGGAATCATTAAAAAATGATGCTAAAAATCCTGTATGTTTTCTGAGGCAAACTTCTTTATCTGTGGCCTTTTTAACTACCCATAATGCACTGACAACAGCATTGTATCAACAACAGTTGTTTTAATGACAAACAAGCTTTCTGGCCGGTTTCGGTTTTCGTCTGAGGCGGCAATGCAGTGTTTGTGTTTTGATGTCGTGAGTTACAACAGCATGCCTTCTTATCTTTCTTGTGTGGGCAGAAGATTTTCAAGGGGAAATGGAAAGATTTTTTTTTTACATAACAGCTGAAGATTTAAATAAGATTACTAAGAAAAGGGGAAATAGGGGGGAAATGGTAATAACCACATGATACTGACTTGAGAGTTCTGGGTTAGCCCCTTGTCGTGTGTTTCATAGCACCCTTCAGATATGAGATGAGGAGAGAGAGAGAGAAAAACCATGATGCGGAGAGGCTGGAAAAACAGAGGCATGCACGCTTACTGTATGTCCCACTTAGCAAACTCTTTGCAGCCCACACTGCCAAGTCAATGTTACACCTATTCCACCTCCCCTAAAGCTTTAAATAGCCCACTCTCTCTCAACAGGACAAACAGTGAAAACACAGCCTTCAGTACAATGTAACATTTACCATCCCTGCCGCCTAAAGATGGAGCCTGCATCGTCAGGAACTATCTAGACAGAGACATAAAGTCACGGCCAAAAATATTGGCACCCCTGCATGTCTGTCAGATAGCGCATCACTTCTTGGAGAAAATTAGTGCATTCACACATTCTTGTCATTTCATTTTGTCCAAAGGGTGTGCTAGCAAATATTAACCTGAGGGTGTCAATAATTTAGCCCAGTCCATTTTTGGAGATCTGTGTGGAATGTATCAGATTTGGCTTTTTTTTTCAGTTTTTTTGTGTTGGTCCAATGCAAACAAAAGAAGTAAACATAGGAATACCAGAGATGGCTGCAACAGTTTTCTGGGAGAAGTGGTGCATTATCCTACAGAAATGCAGGGGGGCCCACATTTTGGTCATGACTGTATAAACATGTTGGTATGGCCAGCAGCTATAGCTTACATTAGTTTAGCATAAAGGCTGTTGATGCTAATAAAGATTGCTTCTGGTTGGGGGAAAAACTGAGAAAAATGCTTGCTTGTCTACAGCTCAGGAGACAAAGTTATGATTCTCATTTCAGTTTCTGTTTTGTCTGATGTGTTTCTGAAAGTAGGTGAGACAGGACAAAGAGCAACAGGAGTCATTCTTGGAACATAAGTGGAGATACCTTGCCAAACTTGACTCAGTGTTAATAATTGATTTATTTATTTATTTACTCCTTTTGAGAAGAAAATGAGCAACACTAAAGCAACATGTAAGTCTATGTACAATCCCAGATCAGAAAAGGTTGGGACAGTATGTAAAATAAAAACTGAAACAGCAAATAATGATTTGTAAATCGTCTGTGTCCTGTATGACATTGAAAACAATACAGCAGCACATTATTTGATGTGATACATTAGTTTTGTTCAAAATAAATACTCACTTCAATTCTGATGTCTGCAACACATTCCAAAAAAGGTTGGGACAGTGAAGCGTTTACCACGGTGTGATGTTGCCGTTCCTTTTCGCAACACTTAAAAGACGTTTCGGGCCTGAGGACACCAAGTGATTAAGTATATCAGGTGTAATGTTGCCACATTCCTCCTGCAAACAAGTCTTAAGGTGCACAGAAGTCCTGGGTTGTCAATGATCTAATTTGTGTTTCAAAATGCGCCACACATTCTCTACTGGGGACAGGTCGGGACTGCAGGCAGTGCCCTTGACCTTTACACACTGAAATCCCTCCAGACTTCTTGAATTTTTTAAATCATGTTCTGCACCGTAGAGGGTGACATATCCAAATCTTTTCCTATCTCTCTTTGAGGAACATTTTTAAACATTTCAATAATTTTCTTATGCGTATGTTGGCAAACTGGTGGTCCTCGGCCCATCTTTGCTCCTAAAGGGCTCGACCTTTCCTGGATGCCAAATATTGTACCAAATCTTGATTGCAACAAGGCATCACATAAAATGATGCTGTATTGTTTTCGTTGTCATACGGGACACAGATGATTTACACATCACTGTTTTCAGTTTTAATTTAGATTTTACATACTATCCCAATTTTTTTCTGATTTGGGGTTGTACTTTATATTGATTGATATTTATAGATTGTCGTGAGCACTGGGTTGGTAGGAAATGATGAGAGAGCTGCTCTATTTTTGGCAGCATCTTTGCATTTTGGCAGAGCCACAGGAAGCACCATGCAACCGGCAGGACAACACAATAATGCAACAAGAGGGCAGGGCAAGAATTCCAGGTAAAAATAACTACACAAGACTCATCAAATACGATAGAGGCTGAAATAATAAACAGGTACACTGCCGCGGCACACAGAACAAAAAAGAGCATAGCAGAACTGTGTGAACAACACCATTGAAGAAACGCTTTCTGATTTCTCTGCTTAAGATCAAAAAGAGGCGCAAAAGTTTAGAAAATCTGAGTTATTTTAAAGCTTGATGAGATCTACTTAGCCTCAAAAAGAGGCTAATTTGAGATTTTGTGCATCCTGGAGAAAGAAAATGAGAGGCAGGAACAATAAGCCACTGTATCATTTTGGTTTCACACAGACCTCATAGTTGTCAAGGAGAAATAAATGAAGCATTTTTGAGCGATTTTTTTCTAAATTTCTTTTCCTTTGGGGAAGAAAATTCTTCTTTATGACCCAAAATCACAGGTTATAATTTTAGTGTTGACAAACGTATGTGGCACTAAGAGTGATGCCTACTCAGATTGTTCATTTAAATGATGATTAGGAAAAGCAGAGATGTATTATGTATTTCAAAAAACACAACAGCAATCTAAGATACAAATGATGCAGGCTTCTCCCAGAAGAGCCATATACTGTAGCTCCATGCATGGAAGGTTTCTGCGTGGATCCTCATCAGGCTCTCTTTAACGCTGTGAGCGCTAATTTTAACATCCACCTGTTATACAGCTTATACATCCCACAGTGGGTCATGACAGCGGGTATGTGTGTGTCTGCTTGAGGAAGAACAGAAGGACAGGGTACTTTGAGATTTGTGTGTGCATGTGCATTTGTTAGTCTGAGAAGAGTCAGTCAGCAGTGAAGTCTTTATAGCACACACACCTATTCTTCACTGTAGACTTCCTGTGTCTGCCTTTAGTCACAATCAGCCTATTATGTAAGTCCTCAGAGGAGATAAGGGCACACTGACACCTGTGCCCTGTCAGCCTGCTCCTGGCAGGTTTCACTTCACCTTCAATTACAGCTTGTAAACTCCACCTAAACATGTAATGATGACTCACTCTGCAGCCCTTTATTGCTGCATTCCTTATTTATGTAGGTCTTTGTTCAATTCAGCCAATATTTCATTAGTGTCAAAAGGATGAGAATAGCTCTCTTGGAATAAATGAGTTTCTACCCTTGCTCACATATTTTTGGAACTGTGTGTGAGGGGGTGAATACAGGCATGCAGTCAATAAAGGATGAGGATAATTTGAAACAAGAAAAGATCTGTTTGGCTGCAGGAGCCAAATCTGCCACCTCTTCAAGGCAAAACCTAACTCAAACCTCAAAATACCCCCGCAAGTTGGCAAGCCACGTGACACCCCACAGTAATGTGGGGCACACTTAGCAGCAATGCAGATCTTCACGAACAGTTATAGTCGTGTGGGCATGACTGACCTTTTCCAGCTCAGGTGATCAAAATGTCTGCAGCCACCATCATGTTAATCACCCATGGTAGTATTAGTAAATGACAGATCTGTAGAATATGTTGATGGTTGATGGTGAAAAAGTGCATTTTAATAATTGGCAGGAGTTTTAATGAAAATAGGGCAACGGGATGCTCTGCAACTTTATGTGTGTGTGTGTGTGTGTGTGTGTGTGTGTGTGTGTGTGTGTGACAGAGTGCGTGGCGTGTGTAGCAGGTAAACGTCACAGCTCGCGGAGAAAGCCTCTGTGAGCGGGCGCCACACTTCCTCAATCGACGGAATCACAGAGCAAAAAAAAACCGAGGGGAGGAGAAAAAGCAACTTTCGTCGTGCTGCGGCGAAAAAGAACAGCGGCAAGTTTGCAGGAGGAGGTGAGGCTGCTACTCTTCTTCTTTTGGTCGAGAGTTTGGGTCTTTTACATTTGGAGTATGCGGAAAGTTGCTTAGAAACTGAAAAGGTGCCCGCTCTGCTTCTTTGAGCTCTGGGGAAACGAACTCATTTAACCGTAACCCTTGGTGCTGACGTTAGTAAATTCTTTACAGAAAACGTAAGTTACGTTAACACTAACGGTTACGTAGGTTACGCAGCGCTCAAAATGTGCCACTCTAAGTGTTATGGGGTCACTATTTGTGGTTAGCAAGCTGTTAAAATATTAAATATGTATTTCCACTTCGGTGCGTGGTAACTCCGGGCGGGAGAAGGAATGCGGGCAGAGCTAACGTTAAACAGCAAAGAAAGAAGGTCTTTTAAAGGTTACATATATTTGTCGTGAAGAAGAATCTAGTTGCAAACTGCTGTCTGAGTCAGCTGTGAGGTGACATCTGCCATTCAGCCAACTGACACTCAACCACATCCTTCAGGCAGAAATGTTGCATGAAGAAAGTGTGATGCGCTGGACTGATTCTGTCGAAATGACGGTGTCTGCTCTCAGCTGCCTGTATTGTAAATTATTTTACCAGCTGCCCCGGACTTTGTGACTGTCATAGTGCTTTTGCACCATGATTTAGTATTTCAACAAAATGTGCAGGATTCAAAATTCGCCACAGCATATTCATAGCTATTAAACATTTACCACAGGTATGTGCGTATGACTCAGAGGTACGTGTGAGGACATGTTGTTTCTTCCACTGTTAGTAAGAGTGTAGTTTAATGCAAACAGGCTGTATGAACGGGATGCTGCAGGTTCTCCAAAGTAGTGTGCATGGGGTTTATATCTATATATGTGCATCACTGCACAAGTGCTGTCTGTTTTACTGTCTTTTACTTCTCCCTTTTTCTTCCTGTCTTGGTCTCGGCACTTATTATTTTACACTGCGTGTTAGAAATGTTAGCATACGTTTGAGTCTCCAGCATTCAGGCTTTGCAAAGCTGTTACAACTGTATTATACACTATGCATCCAGTACCTTTAATGTAGTTGCTGTAGTTGCTTATCTTATATTTTAAGATAAGGTAGACATGTTTTATGATTTCTTGGCCTCTAAGCCCAGATTCTACATGTAATAACATAATTTAGCCTTAGTATTCTCACATTGTACCTACTATTGATCAACTCCAAAAACTCCAATACCACTGTTCACAGTAGCAGTGAGTGTGTGTACATGGTCGATCGTCACTGTTCCCCCATAGTGCATGTAATTTTTTCTTGGTGGCCACTACTGGAAACACAGTTTTAACAAAGGGAAAACATCTCAACAGGGAACAGATTTCAACACAAAACCTAGGCCTGCTGTAGAGGGTGGCATGGATGAATGACATGTTGAGACCTGCTCTGGCGCTGTAATTCACACAAACACCTCCAACTGCTGCAACTGAAATCTGTCAGAAACTACACACTAAAAACAACATGTTGACGGAACCAAATAAATAGAAGTGGTGCAAGCGCGATGCCAACGCCTTTAACATTGTGCTAGTGTTTTATACATAGAGGTGTGGAACTGATAGTTTTGTACAGCACGATGGGTGTGACTCAAGTTTGTGGCCAAGTCAATTGAGTGAATGTCGTCGCCTGTTGCATTGCACATACAGAAACTGGTTGTGATGTTAAAGAAAAAGTTTTGGTTATGTGTGTAGCAGATGAAAGCACAAGCAAGCAGTAAATCATGCATGCAGTAACAAGTGATTGATGTCTCGCCAGCATATATTTCACCTCTAATGCACAAGGGATGCAACTAGTTTGCTACTACTTGGTATTTTGATGATGGAGGTGGCAAGCACTGTCTAACATGTCAGTCCAAAATCACTTATAGGTGATAAGATCTGATAACTGTGAAGACCACAGCATATGATTCACGTCATTTTCATACTCAAACCGTTCAGTGACCCCTCTTGCCCTGTGGATTTGTCATCCTGAGAGACCACTAATTTATTCAGGTTTTTCCTTTAATTTGTCACCCGTCTCTGTACATCCACTGTGTTGGAATACGATACAGTAAACTGCAATAGTCAGTCCATTACATAAAAACAGATGTTGTTGGAGGTGTAAAGATCTTTTGTGGCCTTATTCCATGTGAGTGTTTAAACGTTGCAAAGTGAGGTGACAGCAAGAGTAGATGCAAAGTCATGGTGCAGCCATGCTTGTGGGGATTTCACTATGGTTCTGCAGAAGTCTTTCTCTCTCTCTGCTGACACAGCTGTCTACTGTTTTTGTGTGCAGGCAAGTGTATGTCAGTTAATTCTGCTTCCCAGACATCAATTAAAGGTGCATGCCCTTATTTTCTCTAATGTTGTTTGGTCTCATAATGTGCATAGAGATTATGTAGTTTAATACCAACCTGTAGCACTTAGCTTTACTCTTAAATGTGAGCCAGCAGTAGCAGCATATGTGAGACGCATGTCATTATAGATGAAGGTCACTGGGGTAACACTGTGTTTGTCTGTTTCTAAGGGCAGGTGACCCTGGTACTTGTCACCATGGCTCCTTTCCTTAGGATTGCCTTTAACTCATATGACTTGGGCATCCTGCCCCCCTTGACGGATCCTCCTTTCTGTGCAATCAAGATGAAGGAGGCCTTGGCAACTGGTGAGAAACTATTTACAGCCTAGAATGTCCTGTCTTTTACAGTTATCATTTTTATAAACAAAGCTATCACTTCCTTCTTTTTCCTTACCTGCACTATGTTAATGTTAATACTGTGCTGTACTAAATATTTTGTCTTGTTTCCTTTATGCCCATTTTCCTTTTCCTAGAACGAGGTAAGACCCTGGTCCAGCGGAAACCCACCATGTACCCGGCCTGGAAGGCCAGTTTTGATGCGCACATCTATGAGGGTCGTGTGCTGGAGGTACTGCTGATGAAGACAGCAGAGGAGCCACTGGCTGAGGTCACTGTTGGTGTGTCTGTCCTTGCTGAACGCTGTAAGAAAGCCAACGGGCGTGCTGAATTCTGGGTAGGACACTACAAACTGTTCTCTTTCCTTGCAAAGCAACATCTCAGGCTCTTGTGTGAAAGTGTCTGTGTGTTTTGTGTGTTCAGGTGGATCTCCAGCCTTCTGGGAAAGTGATGATGGCAGTGCAGTATTTTCTGGAGGAAACTGATGCAGGTGAAAAGAAATAAAATGAAAACATGTTCTTCTTTCTTTACCTATGTATGCGGTACACCAGTATTTTGTCGGCTTTAATACTTTCCTTATTGTCACTCATAGTAAGAGGCTGAAAGGAAGGTGGTGAAGAGTATGAAAATGGGGAAGAATCTTTTTTTTTTCTTTTCTGTCACTTAACCATAGAATTCACGAAATACTGTGTTGATCAATCTTTAGTTGTAAGTCCACAACGCGTCTGCTTTAAACACTGCAGTTTGCATTATTTTCATTTTTAAACTCCCACCCCCACTATGTATAGACAAATTGTCTACCCACAGAGCTTTTACTGTTAAATCAATCTCATCATTCACAGGCGTTCACATGAGCAGGCATTCACTATGGGTCTACGTAGATTATCATTAAGGCTTTCAAGTTGTGACCTATACAAAGTGAGCTTTGATTTTCTGTTGCTTTGATGTGGGATGAATGAACTGCACTCCTCTGTGTATCTGAAAGAGAGAAAACAGGCTGCAAAGGAGGAAGATGCTCCTACCCTGAACCGCAGACGAGGGGCCATTAAGCAGGCCAAGATCCACTTCATAAAGAACCATGAGTTCATCGCCACGTTCTTCAGACAGCCCACTTTCTGCTCTGTGTGCAGAGAGTTTGTCTGGTCAGTCTGGACTACACCTTAGTCCTATAAACAAACCTTTAGGCAGCTAAAGGGGAACTCATAAAAAACAAACAGAGCAATACAGGAATATTAAACAGACCGTGTTTAGGAACTTCCTGGTATTTGGTAGCATACAACGGTCTCTGAGTAGGATGACTTCATTCATAGTTAGACAACCTGTTTGTTCACACTGTTTTTGTTAAATCCAGTAGGGTCCTAACTTCCTGTTTGTAGCGATGATTATGTTCATCTTCTGGAGGGCTACAGATCTCCAGTATTCTGCTTTGGGTCACGCTTTAAACTATCAGCATGGCTGTACTGCTGCTATTTATTATCACTAATCACTAACGTGATAAATTATCAAACTATCCACATTTATATGATCAAAGAATAATACAGATTGACCAAAGAGAGACACAAAATGATTTTCTCTTTGTCTCTCACAGGGGTCTCAACAAGCAAGGCTATAAATGCAGACGTAAGTATGCAGTGATTTAAGATCTCTTGTGTTTTGTACAGTACTTGAGTAACAGCCCATTGCATGAAATATGCACTTTAATATAAGTACCTTTTCACTTTTTTGTTGGCATTGCCAGTGTACAGGATGATCAGATCATAGTATGTAGTAATAGTTTACAGGTCTCTTTTATCTTCTTTTTTATTAGAATGCAATGCAGCCATTCACAAGAAATGCATAGACAAAATCATCGGCAGATGTACTGGTACTGCTGCCAACAGTCGGGATACTGTGGTACGTAACGCATTTCTGCAGTACACAGTGTACTGTCAACACTCGCCATATGTCTCCAAATGCTTGTTCAGTGTGGGATTTTTTCACTGTTGTTTTTGCTGTTATTGTAAAGTAATACTTCTAGTATGAACAATAGTAGGTGTTTAATTAAACTGGTAGGCACTGCTGGGTCATAGTTTGATACCAAGGCAGATATCAGTTAGGGTCCATATCCAATAAAGTTCTTTAATGCTCATCAATATTGGCGCATAAAGGTGATCAAGGATTGACTGACCTAGACAATAGTGACATGGGAATGATCAAGCACACATACCCACACTGGATAACAGATGGGGTGAGGTGGCATGTTAAATCAGAGCGGGGACCTGGGAAGAAACAAGTAGCTTTGTATTCCGCAGTGTGGTCACTTGTGACAGTATAGACTCAGAGAGGGAAGCAGAAGACTAAGCAAAAAGAAAGAGCTAGATGTGCAGGCTGTGAAGTGTTACAGGTCACTCATGGACATGGTGAATCCCGTTTGTTCCCGCAGTTCCAAAAGGAGCGTTTTAAAATTGACATGCCACATCGTTTCAAGATCAACAACTACATGAGTCCCACCTTCTGCGACCACTGTGGAAGTCTGCTGTGGGGTCTGGTCAAACAAGGCCTCAAGTGTGAAGGTACAGTGCACATATGATCAGATATGTAGCTGTTAAGGTGAATCAGTACTGCTGTTTTTAATGAACTCGTTTTGTTCTGTTTCTAGATTGTGCAATGAATGTCCATCACAAGTGTCAGGATAAAGTAGCCAACCTTTGTGGTATCAACCAGAAACTTTTAGCTGAAGCACTTACACAAGTCAGCCAGGTGAGTTCATGGAGACGCTCAATGAGTGGTCAAATCAAGTGCCTTTAGGGTAAAGCCAAAGTAAAGTGCAAGAACACATTAGAATGACAAGTCTGACTCAGATACTGTATCATACCACCTAATCAAATCACTCTTTCATAACATGACTCTTTCATACAATGCAGACATCTGACTACTTTGTCTTTTATTTAGCTATTAGTAGCCTGTACTCTGATGGATTAATAAAATACGATTGAAACTTGACAGTGAGAGCCACAAATATAGATTGGTACTTAATACATTTTAATACCCTGTCTTATGTAATAAGATATTTACACTTGTAAATTTGTTCCTACAAACATTTATACATATTTCTACTTAAAAAAATGGCAGATGTTAGGCTGGAGGCGAGTCTGAAATGTGTTTGTAACAGTTTACTTGGATGTTGTCCATGTCCAAGGCTGTTTGTCTGTCCCGTCAGCTTCTGTTCTTGTGCTTTTGATTTTGACATTGTTTCCTGTTTCTGTTTCACCTTCGTTTTGGACTTTTTATGTGAATCTGGACTCATTGTTTTCACCCCAATATAAGCGGCTTTCCCCCACCGGAAAGCTGCCAGATTGATCTCTTGACTCCCGTGCAGACTTTCCAGCGTTCTTGGGTTTTTTGTGAATCCTGTTGTGACCTCGGATTGTTTAGACCACCGATTCTGCCTTGCCCTCTTTGTTCGGACTGTTTTCTATGTATGGATTATTGGACTTCCCTCTCTGACATCTTGTTGTGGATTCCTCGGCTGTGTAAGTTTGCTGGCTCTGACCCTGGACTGTATTTTGTTGTCCGTGCTCTTAATAAAGAGACAATTTTTTTTACTTATCCTCCTCTGGCTATATAATTGAGTTCACCCCTCGACATTATCGGCAGCTGCACGCGCTGATTCCTGACACTGTTACTGAACCAAATATGGCTCCAATATAACAAAGCAATTACAGTTTAATGATAAAGTGATCAACAAAGGTGAAAATATTTTACCCACCATCAAAACATCCTGACAACTACATGCCTGCAGGTTACAAACTTCTGAAGTATTAACATTATTGCATTGTCATGTTACACGCAGCACGAGGCAGAAGTATCTGACAAAGATGCCTTAAGAAAACTTCTATCACAATCCTAATTGCTATTAACTTCATTTAAACCCAGATTATATTTGAGCCTATTTTTAATATTAATCTCATCATTGGACCAATCCCAATGCAGGCAGAGTCTGTTGAAGGCTTCTTCACAGTATTAAGAGTATATCAGGCTCAGTTCATTGTTTATGCACACATTATAAATCCTTAAAGGATAAGGCCATTCATTTTTTATATTAATTGTTTTTTCAACAATTGCTATACAGAGACTAAAAGTGATTTGCCTCTACTGGCAGTTAATATCTGTCAGCTGTCAGTCCTCGATTAGCTTGTTTGTCTGTACGATAAAACTCCTTTGTTATTTAAAAATTATTAAAACAAATCAGGCAAACACACTGCACTGGGTGACACAAATTTTCATTAAAAAACCCCAGAGCCAACTATGCTTTCCCAAAAGCTCCATGTGGCCATAATTTCCTGAAGTTAGCACAACTCAGAGTCAACTGGGCATGCGTGACATTTTGTGCAAGCTCTCAGCTGTATTCTGTTAGCTACTCGTGCTCAGATCTGGTGTTTGCTAATGAAGAAATATGTCACCCACTGCCTGAAATACTGTTAAAATACTATTAATATAGAAAATGATCGGCCTTCATATTAAGTTGATTAACAGTGGACTATCAAAATAAAGTGTAACCATCAAAGTGAGTCTCACTGGAATGTGAAACTACCAGCGCTTGGTGCATGTTGACAGATTGTTGAGTGTGACACCCTACCTCGATGGGAACCTGAGCCTCCTGTCCTGGTGTGTTTAAGGACTGGCTCACTGCTCTCTTGCTCTCTTTTTACTTACCTCTGATTCAGAACCAAATGTACAGTACTCAGTGTTGAAAAGAGGAATCTGAGAAAGCGTGGTTGCAATGGATAAACCACAGCTGGATGGGCAACCATTACTGTGAAACTCTGTCTGATTGTTTCATGTTTATTTGTTCTTCTTTTTTTCTCGTTTCCTCTAGAAATCATCCACCCGCCGTTCAGATCCAAACCTACCTAATCTGCCTGATATAGGAATATATGATGAAGTTAGCAAGCTTGCTGGACTCCAAATCAATGGTCAGCATTTTTCTGCATGTGCATGTACTTACATGCACTTATGTGAGCAGTAAAGGCTCAGTACTGATAATAATACTTCCAGAATCATATGAGAAAGTGTCCAAAGTTTAAGATAAGTAATGGCTGTGTGTGCTGATTTCCTTGTCCATTAGATGGATCTCCCTATGGCAGACTGTGGGAGGGGTCCAGTCCACGCCCTCAGTCTCGTCTTACCCACCTTACCCGGGTCAACGTGGACAACTTTGTCTTCCACAAGGTCTTGGGAAAAGGCAGCTTTGGCAAGGTATAATGCAACAATAAGACTGCTGCTTTAAAAAAACACACAACACAAGGGCAAGCAAATAACCAGGAATGAAACACCAACACTCCAGTCAACACTTATCAAGTGTCATAACTGCACTGGAAACTACAGGCTTCATATAGAAGTAATAAAAAAAATTAATAATCTTGACTTTTCAAGCTCCATGCTCTGATAGAAAACAGTTAAAGTGCCTGTGTTAATCCCTCTCTTCTTTTCTCTTCTTCCCTCCCTCACAGGTTCTCCTAGCAGAGCTGAAAGGCCGTGAGGAGTACTTCGCAGTCAAGGCTCTGAAGAAAGATGTAGTGCTGATGGATGACGATGTGGAGTGCACTATGATAGAGAAGAGAGTCTTGGCTTTGGCCTGGGAAAACCCCTTCCTCACACACCTTTACTCCACCTTCCAGACCAAGGTAGTCCCTCTTCACCTCAGTAATATCGGTAGTCACATTTTTCTCTGCTTTACATACTGAACTCTGCTATCAGTACTGAATGTGAAACGTGTCTACAGGAGCATCTCTTCTTTGTGATGGAGTATGTGAATGGAGGAGACTTGATGTTTCACATTCAGGAGAAAGGGCGCTTTGAACTCTACAGATCCATGTGAGTCACACCTCTCACACAATCATAACAACATACAAACTCAGTAGAAAAAACCCACACAACCTGGCATCATTAGTCACGTGGCTGTGCAGAGGCTCACACAGATGCCTGTGTTCACTCTCTCCCTGCATCCCTCTCATTATGGATGCAGGGATCCCATTATGATTTTTTTCCTTTCACATATTATAGTGAACCTGTACTGGGGCTGGTGTCCATTAGCTGCTGATGAGTAGCAGACTGGCCTTGTAAGGAGTGAGCAGCTGTTGTGTCTAGTGTTTGTAAGGGGAGGTATCAGTTACTACCTCCCACCATTTCACTCATCACTCTGTGGGAATCTGTCCAGAAAAATACAATAGTACACTTATAAAAGAAAGTGTGATAAAGTCCAGAAGTTGGCGGCACTTGTGACACTGCCTGCTGACGTTTTAAAAAGTCTCACATTTACAACTACAGACATGAAAGTGAAACATTTCTTAGCAGGTGCTATTAGAGCAAAGTACAAAGGAATGTAGAGCAGGTCTGTATCTAGGAAAGATAGTTCTGTGCTGCATTTATCATTATTTCACATATACAACCAGTGCACTGCTTTATGTACTGCTGTTTTGGCTTTAACAACAACTCGTCTGTTCAAGCACTGATCATACCGTACATTCTGCTGTTACATATCCTGTAGTTAAGACTGGTATCTGCATTCTGGACCTGTGGGATGACAAGTGTCGTTTTCTACTTTGCAAGCACAGATGCCTGATCATGTCTTGGCATCTGCTTCAATCCTCCTTGCTCAGTGACTGTGCGCAGCCTGGATAATTTACACTCAGTGAGTGAGACAGCGGGCTGTTTCATCATCTCACAGTGCAGTCAGTTTTAACAGTGTGCGTGCATGTTTGACTCTAATACACTACCAGTCAAAGGTTTGTACACACTTTCCTATTCAATTCAATGGGAAAGTATGTCCAAACTTTTGACTGGTAGTGTAAATACGCTAGTGTGTTGTTGCAAGCTGTCATAGTGGAGTGGAAAGTATCTAAGGGATCTGTTTATGCAGTATTTTTCCTTAGGTAGTGACTGAACTGAGGTTTGTGCTGTAAAGAGGTGACCTCTTTACAGCACAAAGGCCATGCAGTCGCTACAGTATCTGCAGTAACCTGTTGACCAAGTGTCATAGAGAGACTTGTCATCTCACATACTGTAGCAGAGCACAGCGTACTTACATCTTACATAGATCAGTCAATACCTAGACTTCATTTTACAATGTGTATTGTGTTTGTAATGTTGTGCATTGAGCAGGTTTATACATGCATGTGCATATATGTATGTGTGCACTTTCTAGCTTGTCCTGAGAGTTTTATGTTGGTCTTAACTGAGAGATACTGACAGTCTATTCAGTCCTTGTTAGCTGGTCATTTACAGTGAAGGAACAGTTACTGGCTTAGAGCAGGAGGCTGCTCTAGCTCTTCTCAGGACTCATTGTTTCATCTGACACAGATGACAAGAGAAGCAGGCTAATCTTTCAGGCTCGCTGCAGCTCTCAGGTGTCACATCATGAGAGTGTTATTCACCTGTCTTCTACTCCATACAAATGTCCTCCTCAATAATTCAGCTCTACATTGAAATGACTTTGTAGTGAGACCAGGGTTCAGCTGCCAATTCAATAGTCGGGTACCTACAGTGCAGTCCTGTAGCTTTCCACCGGAGATGAGTAGCTGATATATGTCTGTCTCTGTCATCTTTGTCTCCTCAGGTTCTATTCAGCTGAGATCATTTGTGGTCTCCAGTTTTTACATTCCAAAGGGGTCATCTACAGGTCAGAGCAAAATGCTTATTACATCCGGATGTCATTTGCAGACACTTAAATGACCATAATTGTTCATGTTTTCACCCATAAATTTGAACTACTGTTTTCTTTACATCATAGCTGACTATTTGGAATTATCTTCCTATTTTACACTAGACTTTCGTTCAATTCAGTTGCAAGTACAATGTGAAAATGAGCTTGCAGAGATTCTAAACTTGCTTTGGTTAGGTAATCCCTCACATTTTGACACTTTTTTTACTGAAAGTTTCATTATTGTGTGTTAATGCAGTTGTGAGCAGGGACTGTTTAGAAACCACTCCTTGTGGGTGCAGTTCCAAATCAGTCTCAGAAGGAAAACAACAAAACAGATTTTGTCAAGAGAAAATTTGTTTATTTCTTGTAGTAAAAAGGCAGATGCTTAAAAACTCAGGAAGAGTTTGACTGCTTGCACCTGCACTTCGATGAATTACCAATCTGAAGTAGAGCTGAAATGATTAATTGATTAGTCAGCTGACAGAAAAATAATCAGCAAGTGTTGTGGTAATGTATTAGTCGTTTACATCATCTTTTAAAGCAACGGTGTCAAACAATCCCTAGCTTCAGCTCCTAGGTATTAGAATTTGTCTTATGTGATCGTAAACTGAATATCTCTGGGGTTTGGACTGTTGGTTGGGCAAAAGAAGACATTTGAAGATGTCACTTTGGGCTTAAAGAAATTGTGATAGGCACTTTTCACTGTTTTCTAAGTTTTTATAGACTATAAACAATTAATGGAGGTTATTGTTTCCAGAGATCTTAAGTTAGACAATGTGATGCTGGATTGTGAGGGACACATAAAGATTGCTGACTTCGGCATGTGCAAGGAGAACGTGTTTGGAGACAATCGTGCCACGACTTTCTGCGGCACTCCTGACTACATTGCTCCAGAGGTATAATATTTCAAACTTTGAGACACTTTCTTGTTCTGAAATGTTCAAATCTCCAACTGATCTGACTGACATGGGTCATTCTGCACATAAACAAGTGTCATCATTCTTACTTATAAAATTGTGTTTCAAACTCAGATCCTGCTGGGACAGAAATACTCATTTTCAGTTGACTGGTGGTCATTTGGGGTGCTGCTGTATGAGATGATGGTTGGACAGTCGCCTTTCCATGGAGATGATGAGGATGAGCTGTTTGAGTCCATCCGCATGGATACTCCCCACTATCCCCGCTGGATCAGCAAAGAGGTCAAGGACCTGCTTGAGCGGGTCTGTATCGAAGCTCTTATACAAATTCCGTCTGACATATTGACTAGGTGAATATGTGTTGGATTACTTTAAGGCTGAAATTTGAGGATCACATGCTGCTGTAGACCATGAGAAGATGCTACAAATCAATTCAAATCCACTTGGACAATGCTGATACCATGATGTGCTTGAGTTGTAATGGTGCACATTCCTTGCTTACCTTTACTTTTCCCCTGCAGTTATTCGAAAGAGACCCCACTCGCAGGCTAGGGGTTGTGGGTAACATCCGTTTACACCCCTTCTTTAAGACCATTAACTGGCAGGCCTTGGAAAATAGGGAGGTTGAACCACCCTTCAAACCCAAAGTGGTATGTGTCACACACAATACAGTTGGGGTTAGACTGTGATAAGATACTGAATATGGGCTTTGTTTGCATCTTCAGTTTGTGCCCTGTCACCTGTTTTATCTTGTTGCTGAGATATTTTTACGGTCAATCACAGAAAGCACCGAATGATTGCAGCAACTTTGATCGGGAGTTCCTCAGTGAGAAGCCTCGCCTCTCCTTCAGCGATAAGAACTTCATAGACTCCATGGACCAGTCAGCATTCGCTGGTTTTTCATTCATCAACCCCAAGATGGAACAGCTTTTAGAAAACTGACTGCTGTAATGACATTCACACTTGGGTTACATCCCTACTGTTTATGGGACAGTTAATCAGTTCTGTCGCAGACATTGCGACAGAACTGATTAACTGTGTGACCATATTTCACACACAAACTATTCCCATTGGGTACGTTTAAAAATTATACAAGTAGAAACAGATCGCTGTACTGTATATATGATGTTTGTGTGCATGCTTATTATTTGTGTAGGTTGTGAAGGCCTGTATGAGTAATAATATGATAGTGTGAGGCTGAAAAACCTTACATTCCACCTGACATCACTGCTGTCATCTGCAGTCTGTCCCTCTTGGTAACATTCAGTTCAAACCAAATGGTAATGAAAAATTATGGAGAGAGAAAGAAACATAGGAATTACCTGTACTGTATACTTAAACTCAGACCAAAAAAAACCTACACTGTATCAAAAGAACCATCAAATTTACAGTAAAACACTGGCAGCACGGTTAACAGCCCATTACTGTAAATTTACTAACTAATTTAATTTAACTAATTTAATTACCCTAACTCTAACCCAAGCTAATGTTACGTAATAATCTTACTTGAAATGCTAGCGTTCACAGCGGCCAAGGTGATCCTGCCTGCTAGTGCGATTAATGGAAGGGACAGTCGAAATATTGTTAACTTTACCTTCACAAAAGTACAGTAGTCCAACATGGAAAGGAAATATACTGAGATAAAATTTGATTCAAATGTACTTAATACTCCACTTACCTTAACTGGCTGTGAATCAGTTCTCTTGCTGCCAGCGGTAATCCAGAACAGTTGAAGTCCCACAGTTCATCTATCAATTTGAAACTTACAGTAGTACACTGTGGATGTGGTCCAGAAGTGTTGGTAACACAGCTGAATGCTGCCAGAATACATCAAGTAATATATTGTAGTTTTGAAATGCAGCCAGATTACTGAAAAATCAGGCTGTAGATTTTACAGCAATTTGTTACAGTGTATCATGTTTAAATATAGCTTACTAATGAATGGTATCTGTCTTTGAAACATCTGATTTTTATTGCCTTTGACTGGAAAAATTATGTCTAGCTGACAAAGAAGAACTTGTGTTTGCATGGTTGACTAACCAATTTATGTAAAGATCAAAAATAAATAGAACAGCTGGTCACAGCTGTATGTAATAGGACCTGCCTTTGGACAGTGGCAGATTGGGTGCAGGTAGGATTGCAAAACCTTCTGCAAACATCGAGCGAGAAGTCAATCCATTGCTGTTATTAGACAATGCATATGTACAGTATATTGTTGTAACATTATCAGTTTGCTATGGATGTACTTTTTTTTAATGTCTCCATCTTTTACATCTGATTAAAATACCGTCAATGCCCAAGTCTGATCTGCTTCTTTTAAAACGTATGCAGTTTACATTATCCTTGTGCCATGGAAGCTTAAGATCTCAGACACAAGGGGGAATTTTAGAGGTCAGATCAGAGCTTATCTATGGTGCAGTCACATGTTATTAATGAAAGGCTCCTTGGTTTATCAGTTAGATATTTATTACAGTTGTATTTTAGTGTTTTAATGTGGATGTTCATTTGGTGTTCAGGTTGTACTCATAATTTTATTGTGTAATTTTACCTCACTTTTTGAGCATGTTGGAACAACTGTTGATTGTATTTTGTAGATCCATTAATAAACTAAATCAAAAATCAACAACAGACTCAGGACAGTTTGTAGCTTAAAACAATTTCCTTGTTTGTACAGGATGCATTTTGGCTTGATGAGACTACCTTTTTATCTAGTCTGATAAGCTTAATCTGAAACATCTCTGGTTTGCAGATGGCACAGCAAACTTCTGCAGCAAAGAAATTGGTTGCATTAAGGTGGCGGCCTCCACATTCATTATTAATAAGTCAATGAGCTTGTAGTCTAGATACCATTTTGTAAACATACATAATACAAATGAAAAGGAACACAATAAAGAAAGGATGACTTTACATAAAACCGGAAAAGCTTGACAATTCTGTTATTTAATCAACTGGATTTGAATGCAACTTGTGATAGAGTTTATGTCAATCTGTTTGCACCTGGATTTGAATGCAACTTGTGATAGAGCTTATGTCAATCTGTTTGACTGAATAAATGATTTCTTGGCAAATGTCATTTTGTGACTGTAAAATTTACATAAAAAGATCAATATGTTGGTGACAAACACTTGGTCATTACATAGAAATTCACAATACAAAGAATATAGTTTATGGTGTATTACCCAAACTACCAGCCACCTCTGAGAGATTATCAGAAGGATGGGTACGCCCTCTAGCGACAATACGGTGGACGTAACGCTCTTTGACGTCACCGCGTACGTATGTCCGTACAATGTGTACGGAAGTGTTACTGCTGCTGCTTCGAGTCTCCAGCTTCTGGTGCTGTCAGAAAATTGTCAGAACATGTCTTCTCGTTAGGAATAAGCGACTATTCTTAACGGAGTATAGACAGCCAAACGTACGGTTTTCACAGTATGTTTCTATAATGATTTTTGTTTGTAGAAAGCAACGGTATCTTGTCTAATTCACGTTAGACAAAACTTTCCAGCGACGTCCACAATGAGTTCTCAGGATGTACTGAAGAATGCCTCTACGCTTGCATCGTATAATGTGTTGCTACAGGTACATTGACATATACAGCTGAGCTATAACACCATACCAGCCAAGTGTTTGAAATATAGTCAATTTATGTTTATGTTTTTACTGGTTTTCTCTCAGGTGATGTTCCGCGTGCTCACATTCTTGCTGAATGCATTCACACTGCGATTTGTGTCCAAAGAGCTGATTGGAGTTGTCAATGTCAGGTAAATGTGACAGGTGTAGTAGGAGCACAATAAAAAGACTACAGTGCTAACAGATTTCTCTGGATCTGCTGTAACAAGTCTGCTTCTATGTCTTGATGTATGCAGGCTTACACTGCTGTACTCCACATTAGTATTTCTGTCTAGAGAGGCTTTCCGGAGAGCCTGTCTGAGTGGGGCATCAGGCACAAACCACAGCTGGAGACAAGTTATCAACCTGCTATGGCTGACGTGAGTTGCATTCAAGACGCAATATGCATTCGATGTTTGTGTATTCACCTTGGATGCTCATCTCAAAGTCTCATCATTCTCTGCTGTCCTCACCTCTCAGGTTACCTCTTGGTGTATTATGGGGAGCCCTGCTGGTCTGTGTGTGGCTGTGGCTTCTGGAGGTCCCAGATCCTCAGACTGTCCCTTACTACGGGCCTGCTGTG